CCCTGCATTTCTTCACGCATTCAGCCATGCATGGAATACCTCTTGCAAGTTACACATGAGAAAACAAAGTGCGTAAAGCAAGTGTCATCATCTAGATTTCTTAAAGTACCCCATTTTGACTGTGTCTGTATTTTAGTCTCTCTTCGGGACTGGAAAATTATTTTGTACTTAAAATGCTGTCCCAGACAGGTTTTCAGGGTAACACCAAAGTACTAGCGATGACGCTTCAACAAGGACACTTTTTATCATTTCTTTGGATTGAGAAAAACAGAAAAACATGAGTGGAAACACTATGGTAACCATCCTCCAGTTAAAAAAACCCTAAGAAATCAGAAAAAAGCTGTTACAATTAAATACTTAGAGTCCTTGGCCCCATTATGCAATGAATGTTGTAAAAGATAAACCAAAATCCTGCTGCCTCCAGTGAATAATTTGTACTTGCATGAAGTATTCAGTCTCCCTTTTCTTCCCCTTCCCTTTCAGTGGGGTTAGCTTTTTTCCGGACAGCTTTGGTATCAGGTCACTATTCCCTTCCCAAATGCTTCCTGCATCGAAACTGCCACCAACTAAAACTAACACAGCCTTTGGGTAGATCCGGAGCTCCTCATGTCTCTAGAGCGGCAAGGACATAACCAGCTGGGAACAAAGACCCGCTTAGTTATTTCTGGAAGGTGAGGACAAAGAGATGAAATGCAGTAGTATTTGATTTGTGATTTCTCAGTATTTACTCATTTTCATGATAACTGAAAACTTCGTTTTCTCTGGTAGGAAATCTTTATAGCCACCTAAAATGCTGGTTTATAAAATGGGTAGAGAGAGACACAAAGGTGTAATACCAACAGAAAACTATTTTCTCTGCGAACCTACCTCATGGCATGCTCTGGATTCAAAGGCTTTTTCATGCAAAAACTACTAGGTGATAGCCATAGGGAGAGGATGCTTGGCTTACGTTGGCAGCTTTTAAGCAAGTTGAAAAAGGTGGTTGTGACCAGCGGAGATATTTATCACAGAAGCATGGAATGTTTTGGGTTGGAAGAGACCTTTAGGGGCCATCTAGTCCAACCCCCCTGCAGTAAGCAGGGACATCTTTAACTCGATCAGGTTGCTCAGAGCCCCGTCCAACCTGACCTTGAATGTTTCCAGGGATGGGGCAGGCACAACTTCCCTGGGCAACCCATTCCAGTGTTTCACCACCCTCATAGAGAAGAATTTCTTCCTTATATCTAATCTAAATCTACCCTCTTTCAGGTTAAAACAATTACCCCTTGTCCTATCACTACATGCCCTTGTAAAAAGTTCCTCACCAGCTTTCTTGTAGGCCCCCTTTAAGTACTGGAAGGCTGCTAGGTCTCCCTGGAGCCTTCTCTTCTCTAAGCTGAACAACCCCAACTCTTGGCCCATCTTCATAGACCAGGCGCTCCAGCCCTCCGATCATCTTTGTGGCCCTCCTCTGGACACACTCTGACAGGTCTGTGTCCTAATGCTGGGGGCCCCAGAGCTGAATGCAGTACTCCAGGTGGGATCTCAGGAGAAGGGAGTAGAGGGGCAGAATCACCTCCCTTGACCTGCTGGCCACGCTGCTTTTTGTGTAGCCCAGGATACAGTTGGCTGTGTGGGCTGCAAGTGCATGTTGCTGACTCATGCCCAGCTTTTCCTCCACCAGTACCTCCAAGTCTTTCTCCACAGGGCTGCTCTTAATCCGTTCTCTGTCCAGCCTGTATTTGTGCTTGGGATTGCCTTGACCCATGTGCAGGATCTTGCACTTGGTTGAACTTAATGAGATTTGCATGGGCCCACCTCTTAACTCTGTCAAGGATGGCATCTGCCCTCTGGATGGCATCCTTTCCCTGCAGTGTGTCCACCACACCACACAGCTCGGTGTCATCAGCAAATGTGCTGAGGGTGCACTCAAGCCTACTGTGCATGTCGCCAACAAAGATGTTAAACAGGACCAGTCCCAATGCTGAGCCCTGAGGAATGCCATTCGTCACTGGTCTCCACTTGTACATCGAACCATTAACTGTAACTCCTTGAGTGCAACCATCCAGCCAATTCCTTATCCACCGAGTGGTCCGTCCATCAAATCCATGTCTTCCCAATTTAGAGATATGTCATGCAGGACAGTGTCAAAAGCTTTGTACAAGTCCAGGTAGATGACATCAGTTTTCTTCCCTTATCCACCAACACTGTAGCCCCATCATAGAAGGTCACCAACTTTGTCAGGCACAATTTGACCATGTTGGCTGTCACCAGTCACCTCCTTATTTTCCATGTGCCTTAGCGTAGTTTCCAGGAGGATCTGCTCCATGATCTTGCTGGGCACAGAGGTGAAACTGACTGGCCTGTGGTTTCCTGGGTCTTCCTTTTTCCCCTTTTTAAAAATGGGGGCTGTGTTTCCCCTTCTTACTTCTCAAGTATGATGGATAGTGGCTTAGCAACTTCATCCGCCTGTTCCTTCAAGACCCATGGATGCATCTCATCAGGTCCCATGGACTTGTGCACCTTCAGGTTCCTTAGATGGTCTCAAACCTGATCTTCTCCTACAGTGGGCGGTTCTTCATTCTCCCAGTCCCTGTCTTTGCCTTCTGTGACTTGGGCTGTGTGGCTTGAGCACATACCAGTGAAGACTGAAGCAAAAAAGTCATTTCGTACCTCAGCCTTCTCCATATGCCAGGTAACCAGGTCTCCCGTTTCCTTCCGGAGAGGGCCCACATTTTACCTAGTCTTCCTTTTATCACCGACATACCTATAGAAGCTTTTCTTGTTGCCCTTGATGTCTCTGGCCAGATGTAATTCCATCAGGGCTTTAGCTTTCCTAACCTGATTCCTGGCTGCTCAGACAACTTCTCTGTATTCCTCCCAGGCTACCTGTCCTTGCTTCCACCCTCTGTAGGCTTCCTTTTTGTGTCTGAGTTTGTCCTAGAGCTCCTTGTTCATCCATGCAGGCTTCCTGGTGGTTTTGCCTAACTTCCTCTTTGTTGGGATGCAGCTTTCTTGGGGCCCTTCTTTCCTCTAGGGCTTTATCCCATGGTACTCTACCAAGCAGATCCCTGAAGAGGCCAAAGTCTGCTCTCCTGAAGGCCAGGGTAGTGAGCTTGCTATGTGCCCTCCTAGGTGCCCTAAGATCTTGAACTCCACCATTTCATGGTCACTGCAGCCAGGGCTGCCCTTGAGCTTCACATTCCCCACCAGCCCTTCCTTGTTGGTGAGAGCAAGGTCCAGCATTGCAACTCTCCTCGTTGCCTTCTCTATTGCTTGGAGAACAAAGTTACCAATGCATTACAGGAACTTCACAGATTGCTTAGGCCCTGCTGTGTTGTCACTCCAACAGATACCGGGTGGTTGAAGTTCCCCATGATGACCAGGGCTTGTGAACATGACGCTGCTCCTATCTGTCTATAGAGGGCCTCATCCACTCAGTCATTCTGGTTGGGTGGCCTGTGGCAGACCCCCACTATAATGTCACTTGTCCCTGTCCTCCCTTTAATCCTGACCCATAAGCTTACTTAATCAAATGTGAGCTTCTCATGATAGATCTGCTAGCTACTGGAGACAATATTCTGCATTCCTTAGTTGGTGGGAGTGCTGCTTGCCACACTGGCATTCCAAGAAGGAATGAATGCTTGCTTCATTTTAATTCTTCAGTATGTTGTCAGTTGAAGGTATTCTGACTTGCTTCTTGGCATCTTTAGCTGGCGTGGACTTTGAATAGTAAGAAAACTGAGGCATGATTACAAATAATCCATGTTTTATATTCTTACATTGGAACACAAAGCAGAAGAGGGGGTGTGTTCAGCGATGAGAGATCCTTCTGCTCACAGACACTGACCACATGCTTATTGATTGAGGGATCGACTCTGACAGCAGTATCTGGAAGAATGAGAGTTACTCAGGGTAACTATTCTCCCTGTGAAGAGGCATGACATGTCAGCAAATACACGTCTGAATTCATAAGGATTCTGCCTAATTTAATCTGGAGACTGGACCCAGTGCTCTAAGGAAGACATGATTGATTGTCAAACGACTGTTGCACTTACGACATAGGTGTATTTACTTGTGGATACAAAGTGTGTTAAAAACTGGATTGTACAGAATTAACTGTAACATCACAATGATTTAGTGCTGTTGGGACGCATCCAAATTTTAGTAACATCTTGATTTTATCTGTATTTTTTCATTTTCATTTCTTTCTGTATACTACTTTGTGGTGACATTCATTACATTTGTTTGGTTTGCAATGCTTGGACTGTAACATTTTGTGAATAATCTGTCCCCCTCTTTTTTGAAGAATGACGTTGACAATGACCACTAGTGAGAGAAGTAAGGGAGTATAACAGATTGATGTGTATGCATACTTGTGTTGTCCACAAAATGTTGAATGCCCAGTTAAAAAGTCACAGTGCACTAATGATGAAATGCTAGTGATCTTTAAGCACAAGTCAGACAGAGGTCCAGGAAACAGCTCTACTATCATTCTCTTATCCCTGCTTTTCAGTAGCTGGGACTTTAAATTTGCGAGACAGTCAGCCTCAGCCCAAAGGTGAACAATTTGTATCTGACTCCTGCATGCTGCTACTGCCTTTCCACAAGCTGGCAAGTATTCTCTTCTCCTGTTATTTTGACTGTTTCCTGTCTTTCTTACTCTAGAGCAAACAGTTGCTCCCCAAAGTGCTAACTTGAAAACTTAGTATTAAACCTAATCTTTCTTCAAAATCTTGTTAGCCTTTCCTTCTGTCTTGTCACCATTATTTAACTTTTTATCTCCATCTACAGGTTTTCCATTTATTAGGTATGTGATGATCAAGAAAATTTGGTAGGGTGATCTTCTGTCACTTGAAATTAATTTCACCAACTTGGTATAATAAAAAAATTTCTAGTGCAAAGTTAAATTAAATTACATGGACTTAATCCAGTACAGTTTGTTCTCACCTTTATTTCATATATGTGATTCTGATAGCTTAAAGTGCTTTTATCTGTTTTTATTTTCCTCTTTTCAGGAAGAACACAGTTTAAAGTGGTAATTAAAGCACTTTCTCCAAAAGAAGTCACCAGAATTTACACCCCTCACCCTTTGGATAGAAATGATGGCACCTTTCTTATGCGGTATCGGATGTACGGGAGTGTCAGAAAAGGGTTAAAAATTGAGATACTTTATGGTGATCAGCATGTAGCTCAATCTCCTTATATTTTGAAAGGTAAGGGAATTTCTTTGATTCAATGTAATGTATGATGGTAGCTACAGAAATGCTATGGACTAATTTACTGCTAGAGGAAGAGGTGGGAAATTCAAGGCTTGTTTGCCCTTGTTCATGCAGTCTCCTCACCAACGTTCTCCTTATACAGAGAAGTGAGCAGTGACAATCTCTATACATTGCCAAGTGACAGGACCTAGATGCATAAGCATGTAGATTATGGCCTCTGACGTCAAGATGACGGACATCTCCCCTTCCCTCTTGCATAAGCAAATGGATCTCTTCAGATTTGGTAGGGAATAAGAGAGCAATGCTTGTATTTTTACAGTTTTCAAACAGGTATTCACTTAAATATTGTGTTATTTTTATCTAAAGTAGAAAACACTACCGGCAAAAGCAAGGAGTTTGTGTTGTTCCCAACACTTTCTAATTCAAATTCAAATATCTGTAATTTCTAAAAGTGTGATCCTTCATAACAACTAAGACAATATTTCTTTAACCAGACAATATTTAACTTTCTTTCCATTATCCCAGTTTAATTCAGTGCAGGTCTATATTACGGAAAAACTATTTAAAAGCAGGGAAAACAAGGATAATTATTCTCTCATTCCAGATTTTCTTCAACTTCCTTCTCTTGCTCGCAAATGGGCAGGTGTTTAGCAAAGAAAAAGATAATATAAAGGTACTTCTCTGTAGAGTCTTGTTCCAGTTCACTACTTCTTCTAAACAGAATTTGGTGATGTTTTTTCTTTAATAAAATATCCTAAATACAAACTTAGAAATGTCTTCAAACTGAAATGAAACTATCCTGAGCCCTCAAGGTAGTTCGTACGCCGCCTTTTTGCTGGTGCACATTTGCCAGCAGTCATGAAACTATGACACAGGACAGAACCTGTTTTGATTAGAAGTCCATGAAATAAGAGCTTTTTTTTTCAAGCTCTACGAGGCTCTTGCTTGTACCTAAGCTCTCTGCTTCAAAAGGGCAGAAAGAATAGTTGAGTATACGTAAAAAAAAAATTATGCCTTATGCCAGAGATAAAGGCTACTGTATGAAAGTTCTGAATTAGGCTAAAATTTAAACCGTAATACCTGGGCTTTGGTAGTTATGGTCAGTTAGAACAATTCTGAATACGCTATGTGGTTGGCAGGTAGCACAATAATGGGGCTTCATTTTGCAGATGAATTTTATCCTGATAACAAAAAAATCCAGTATTTTCATTTCTGAAAAGAGAAGGATGTTGCTGTTTTCTCAGTTACACTGCTAAACCCCAGAAATGTTATAGGGAGGATGATTTCCCAGGAAACCTTTAGAAAACTTGGAATAAAAAATGTCAAGCCACTGTAATGTCTACATATATATGCCCATGTGTTTGGGGAATGACGATTGATGTAGAATCACAAATATAGACTCTTAGTGCTTTGTTTTCTGCAGGACCAGTTTATCACGAATATTGTGACTGTCCTGAAGAAGACCCTGAGATCTGGCAGAACGTTATGTCTTGTCCATCCCAAGAACCGCAGATTACAAAGGACTTCATTTCTTTTCCCACCATTGACCTTCAGCGAATGCTTAAGGAAATCCCAACAAAGTTCAGTCAAACAAGAGGTGCTATTGTTCATTACACTATTCTCAATAATCACATCTACCGTCGCTCCTTAGGGAAGTATACAGACTTCAAAATGTTCTCCGATGAAATGTTCCTGTCACTGGCAAGAAAGGTATCAGTTTTGATCATTTAAGACTATTAAGTCATGTTCTAATATGACAATACTGCATCTGTTGTTGTATCTTCAGATCTATAAATCCTGAAGTAAGACTTGACTTTCATTTTTTCATCAAGATGACAGTGTATCTTAGGGATAATGTATGGGGGCTGCGTTTGACAGTAATGAAATCGCTAAGAAAGCTGCAGAGGCTAAGGCCTGACTCTGCAAGCCTTTTCCTGGCCTCTATGAGTGTTCCTTTCATACTTGTTTGTGGGGCAGAAATCTGAAACTCATACCTTAAGCTCAGCTAAATCTATTAACTATCTGGTAGGTATTGATTCTGCATGACATGAGAGAACTGAGGAACATACGTAAGAGTGACAAACAGCTTCTATCTTTGTCTTATTATCCTTTCTCGGGTATACATTTAGGTTCGTCTTCCTGATGTGGAGTTTTATCTTAATGTTGGAGATTGGCCAGTTGAGTATCGGAAAGCTAATGATACCCCTGGTCCTATACCTGTCATTTCGTGGTGTGGCTCTGTGGATTCAAGAGATATAGTCCTTCCAACGTATGATGTAACCCACTCAACTCTTGAAACCCTACGTGGAGTCACAAACGATCTCCTTTCTATTCAAGGAAATACAGGTAAATTAGACATCATGGATTCAAGAAAAGAATTTGTAAGTCACATCAAAGAGGCAAGTTGAATTCAAATAATGTGTTAAAGTCTTCAGTTCACAAGTGCCTTAGGAGTAATACTAAGGTAGGTTAGTCTTTACATACTGTAAACACCGTCAACACTGCTACTAAACAGGTATTTAATATGGACTTAGGGCCAAAATTTAAGAAGCCCAGTTTACAGTGATGGTGAATTTTAACTTAAAGGTATCCAGAAGATAGCTACTGTGACCTGTCAAAAGAAAAGTAAATATAATTAAAAGGCCTTTCTTCTCAGTGAAGGACTTGAATATGTTCCTTCTAATCAAATAATCTAATCCTTTTCCTGACAGTGATGTTGCCCAATGTTCTGTTTACATAAAAATGAATTTGAATCCTGAAAGAAGTAAATTAGTACTATGCTACAGCCTCTTTCAATTAAGAAAATATTGTCTGTATAAAAAAATACCGCAGAGTGAGATCTTCTGAATTGTTTTTTCAGCTTTGAAGGGTCAGTTTTACTGACAGGTGTCTTCCCCCCCCCAAAATTCATGAACACTTAGGGATCAGACAAATGGCATGAACGATACCTAAGAAGTAAAACTTGACTGAGGAGGTATTTCTTTTTATTTGGTTAGTTCACAGTTTCCCTTTTATTAGTTTTAAAATTAAATATTTTAATTAAATTATCAGCTTGAAGCACTCTGTGTTTACTGATTGAGTACAGCTGCTTTTCCAGTTAGGAGATGATAAAAGCCTACTCCATTTTAGTAGGTCCTTTAAGGAAATTTCCAGCAGAAGGATGAGGAAGGACATGTTTGAAGTTTTTAAAAGCACACAGTAAGCAGAGATGAAGTCTTTCAGGCTCTTGCTAAGTATCTTGAGGACACAGTATAGCCATTTTTTTTTTCCTTTTTAAGTCATCGTTAAGTGATTCCTCAAAGACCTAACTAAATTGCTGGGTAACAGAAGTGGATTTTACTAAAGAAATTTTGGTTATTGTGGCAGGCATTATGAATGGTGAATTACTTTAATTATTAGTATTTTACTTAGATAATTTGATTATAATCCCTTACGTAGCTTTCAAGACATTTCAAGTTATTTAAATAAAATTGTTGAGTAGAAGAACAATTCTCTGATTTTCCTTTTACAAGTGGCTTAGTTTCTCATCCCAAAATTCAAGCCAGAACTAGGAGTTTAAACCCTGTGATTAATAAGTGATTATGGGATTACAAGAAATCATGCCTGTTTTACCATGTCTCCGAGTGTAATGCCACTGTCATAGCAAGTTCCTTATTTGCACTAAACATATCATGAACATTTCATTACTGTTTGCTTTTACCTTATCACTCAATGCTCATAGGCCCTTTCTGGGAAAACAAAACTGAGCGAGCTTTATTTAGAGGTCGAGACAGCCGAGAAGAACGTCTCCATCTTGTCAAGTTATCCAAGGAAAATCCAGAACTGCTAGATGCTGGAATAACAGGATATTTCTTCTTCAGAGAAAAAGAAAAAGAGCTGGGAAAGGTTCAGCTGATGGGCTTCTTTGACTTCTTTAAGGTAGCAAGCAAATTACAATCTTGGATTAATTTTGCAGTCAAGTTCTTACCAACTGAAAAGACAAGGCTTACTTTTGCTAATTCCATTCAGTAAACAAAATAATTATGCTACACTGGGAACACTGGTTCATGCAGGGCAGATAGACCACCTGTAATCCAAGTCATGCATGATGCTTCTAAAGAACGCCACTATACTTTTTTCATGGACTCCCTCAGAGAGAGTTCTTGGTGATTTTTTTTTTTTTTTAAAGATTGAGAAATTTCTCACCATCAGGGTTTCTTTTATGTGGGGTAAATATGAAAACAATGGACACAACTTGTGTCCATTGCAAGTACAAGTACATTATGGATGTCAAAAAGAGACCTTGTAATACCAAGTTGAAAAATAGATGGGTGTTTTTGCTGCACTTTAACACACAAATTCCACTGCAACACAGGTATAAAAAGTAAAGGGGACAGAGTTCTGTGAAAAGCAATTATAATACACGGTAACTGATGTTCTGTTCCTGAAATTAATATACAAGAAATGCTGTAACAGCCAAGAGCATCTGCCAGAGCAGTACATTCATGATTAATTTTAGTATAATGTTTTAGATTATTTTATATAAGTTTCAGATTATTCTACAGAATAATATAATTTTAAGTCAGAGTAAGCTTACTCTTTTTGAATTTAAGTATAGATTAGTTTTATTTTCTTCCCAGCTCTAGCCCTTGCTCTATCCCAGGGCACTTTAATAGAATACCCATCAGGCGGTTCATGTGATACAAAGGTTCTTGACTGTCAGTCTTGGGTTGAAAACAAATCCTTTTTCAATTATGTTATTCAGAACACCATGAAACTACACCTGCTTAACACTAAAATGGGTTTGAAGATAAGAATTAATAAACACAACTACGTCTTGCCTGTGAAAATCATCTTTTATACAGTCAGTGTTTCTATTCTGACTCAACACGTTTCACCTTTCTTCCCTCTACCTTCATACTGTAGTACAAATACCAAGTGAATGTAGATGGGACCGTAGCAGCTTACAGGTTTCCATACCTCTTGCTGGGTGACAGCCTAGTATTGAAGCAAGATTCCCAGTACTATGAACACTTTTATATCGGATTAAAACCTTGGAAACATTATGTTCCAGTTAAGAGAAACTTGGAGGACTTGCTAGAGAAAATAAAATGGGCTAAGGTAAGTTCCGTTACTAATTCACGTTCAAAGTGATAAACAAACATGTAAACAATTTATCTTAATACTCTCTTCTTTCTGTATTGCCACATACATATTTTGCATGAACTCTATTGAGATTCTTGGATAAAGAAAGTATGTTTTGTTGTTAGTGTAAGATGGGAAGGCCTTAATTCAAGTAACCATCTCTATTCAGGCAAATACTTAAGAATTCATTTTAGGTATGTGCAGAAGTGTTTCATGAGTCAGAGCCTTAGTATACTGACTAATGCAGGTAATTTTCAAAGAAACGCCCAGAATCCTAGATATTACTTAATTCTATTGCTTTTTTTAGGTCCTGATTAGAACAGAAGTCATTGCATGTTCTGTTTGAATGTACAAAAAATGGCAGCTCTGCAACAAGCTCAGAATGAAAGGTTGGGATTCTGTAACCAAACTGATAAAATTGCGTGATTGAAAACACCAGTTATGCTTTAAGTTTAGCTATTAGGTTGAAAAACATGGGAGAAATTTCTGTTCTGAGAGTACGGTAGTTCTTCATAAAGGATCAGATGAAAATACTAAAAGCTTTGAAATATAGACCTAAAAATTGAGAGTAAGTACATGAATTCAAGCAGAGTTATTTTTAAAAGGAAGACACTGAATTGCATAGGAGAGGACAACAGCTGTGGCTTTGTCTTCTGTAAAACTGAGTATGTCTGGGAGATGTCAGACCTGATTTTGAAGAGGCTTGTGGCTTGGACGAAACAGTAGAGCAGTAATCAACTGAGTCTTCAGAATTGTACAATTATCCATGAAATTACTGATAGCCCTAAGGTACCAGTTGTGACCATAAAAGCAATCCAGTATTTTTAAAAAATCTGCAGTTTAAAGCGTGCTTTTGCAGTTGACCAGTAATTGCACATAAAGTTGCAGATTTTAATAGCCCCTTTAATAAAACTTCTAATGCCAGCCAGGCCTTGAGTAACTCACTGATTGCTTATTCATTTGTTTCGTCTCAATTTTCCAGGAAAATGATGAAGAAGCAAGAAAAATTGCTAAAGAAGGACAATTAATGGCAAGAGAATTACTTCAGCCTCACAGGTTTTACTGCTACTATTATAAAGTGCTCCAGGTTAGTACAATAGATCACTTTATTACTTTCCCCCAAGTGCTACTGCTACCGATGCTATAAATTTCATATTCGGTCCTTACTTATGTCAATAGCAGACACGATTCGTATTATTCACAGGAAATCAGTGTGAAGAGCTTTGCTAAAGCTTGCTTCATCTTTAAAGAGCTAACCTGACATAATAGTTGTTTTACAGAAATCAGAGATTATTTCTTTCCCCCACCATCCCCACAGTCAGACCTGTTTTCAGTGTCACTTGGTATGTGGTTTCTAATAGACATAGGAGATAATCTGTACAGAACTTTCTTCCTTTTTGCATTCATACTATGAATGCTACAAAACAATGAATACATGGAAAAAAAATCCACAAGTATGGCTAGTAGAGTGGCAAGGGATGAAGCAGGCCAAATAGTCATTGCTTCCCTAGGAGATGCTGATCTGTAGTGAAAGAAGTTTCTGTTCTCTGAAAGTACTAATTTCTTTTTCCTGTTTTGCTGTGCAGAGTTAGATCTCAGCTTCAGCAGCCACAGGTTGACACAAAGTTTGGAACTGTTCCGTGTACAAAAATGACAGCATTATCTGCGTAATATAGTTAGAGGCACAAATAATGGCAATATTCAAATTACCATTAATAATAGGACAGGGGAAAACATTAAAGGAGGTTTTCAGAGGCAATGTAGCCTATTAGTAGGTGTGTTATAAAGACACATTGTAAACAGGTTGTAAACAATGACATAAGGAGCCTGGATAAAGGCAAGCTTGTGAGTGGAAGGGAGGAGGAAAATTCTGTTTCATGAATTATACGTTGGTGCTTATAGCATTCTTAAATGTTGTTTACATATTTCAGAAATATGCCCAATGCCAAGCCAGCAAACCTGAAATACGGGATGGAATGGAACTTGTACCTCAGCCTGATGACAGAGACTCAGTATGCAGTTGCCACAGGATAAAGCCTTTAAGGGAAGATCTATAACTGTACCGGATGGAGAAAATCACCCACTTCCAATGCAAGAATTTAAATAGGAATTAAGCTGTGAAATCTAAGACACTTATGCACTAGCAAACATTCTTAGTTATGTATTCTTCCTGTATTTACATATCCTTTTTCACACTGACTCTGATCTACAACATTGGTTCCCACAATTTGGTCTTCATGACCACCACTAGACAGATACTGAGCCTGTAATGGGCAACGTCTAGGGGATTTGTTTGATGTACTGCATCATCAGGAAGAAGAGTGCCGTGCTGCTCGTGTTCCAGCTGGGACCTAGATACCAAAGTTTTAAGAGGAACCAGTCATCCACAAAAGATCTTCCATGAGTCAGTGCAAGTTATTCTAAAGGAGCATTTGCAACATACTAAACCAGTGTTATGATTTCTTCATAAAGTTTACCTCAGTGTTAGATTGTTTCTTGTATACAAAACAATTTTCTAACTAGACAAAGAAAATGAATATTTGAGATTTACAGATATCAAATCAGGTGTTGCTTTGAGATTATTTTGTGGTCTATCACAGACAACAGAACAGAGTACATAATATAATATTTATCAATTCCAGAGGAAAATGGAGAGGAGGGGGAGAGATCAGCATATTTTTATAAGCACCAAGGCTGTGAATCACCAAAATTAAATGCTGTTTTAAAGCAGAATGTGCAGCTATCACAATCACAGTGCTTTGAGTGCCAAGACATCACTCTGAAGAGCTGTTCCCTGCCAATGACCATGTCTGTGAATATCAGCACAGATCCACCAAAGGACTTACTTAAGAACTTCAGGTGAGGCCAGGTGAAATACTGGTGTCTTAGTTCAACAATACAGTCTACAGTATTCTAGGCTACTTTGTATTCACGCATCTGAAATTTGTTAGTAGAGTTTTAGACTGCCTAAGTTTAACCTCACTGCAGACCTAAGGATGCCACCATCTTTTTCACTTAGGTTCATGAACTGTGCCTAAGTCCCCAAAGGAATCCTATACATTTTCTGAATTTAGATCATACCTAACCTTATACTGAGATCAGACAGCAGAACAGACTTCATTGTTTTGGTTCAAACATATAACAGAAAAACCTATGCTGCATTTTCTATGTAATAGTCCAGGGGTTAGAGACCATACTAAGCACTTGGGAAGCCAATTGTCCTCCTTGGTTTGATTCAAAGCCATTTTTCCAGAGTGTCTTGGCTCCAGACTGGAGGGGAGGTCTTCAAGTCTTCCACTGAAGTTGTGCAGCTATGGAGCTAACAATACAAAATTCACAGGGCCAGAAGGAGCTGGTCTTACCATTGCAATAAGGCGTGCCTTTGGGTGGGACGGAGGAAAAATTCTAGTCCTGGATGTCCTAGTCCAATACCTCTGTTGATTTTTACCCAAGTTTGTCTACTTGAAAAGGCATAAACAGTCCTGGAAGGAGACACCAATGCCAATACCATTAAGTATCCATTTCTGTCCTGTGCATTTTTGTCTTGGCTAATGTAGCCTGCCTGAGCAGATTCCTACTCAGTTACACTCAGAAATGTCTTTGATGGATACCACATTCTCCCTATGCAAAAGGAATGGAAACGTCTTAAGATTGTGGGCTCATCTGATTTCTTAGGTGCCCGAAGATTAGTGCTTTACACCTCACGCAGGCTTCGTTCTTGGTTCTACACTGCAAGTTACTCTCATAAAACACATAAAATTTCTGCACTAGAACAGGAAGAAAGACTAGATTTTTCAGTATGCTAAATATGGAAAGAACTTCAGGTTTCTAAAGAGGTTAATGCAACTGTCCATCAGTTGTTTATTACATTATGCCAGTTAAGAAAAAAACCTGGAACATGTTGCTCTACCCATCATCCTCTTTGTTCTGGTTCTAACACTAATATATATAGTGGTTGTATTTTTATTTGGCACGACAATCAGTCCTAGAACTTCAGACTATATGTTCAGCTCATCTGACATGAAATTTTCTACATCAGAATTCAAGAACCATTGCTGAAGCAGACACTTGAAACTGAGTATATGTTCCTCTTTCCTTCTCTGTGTACAGTTATTTTTACTGCGTGATATGGTCTTATTTTGTGATATTATCCATTATACCATGTGCATTTTTTATTCACCAGCATTTATGGAAGTGGTGGGCTCAGCAAAGGGAATGAAGACACAATGTTGAAGCAACAAAGTTTTCCACCTCTCACACACATACTTCAAACCAAAAGTCCAAAAATTATCTGTTTGTATTTTAAAAAAATGTGAGGGAACAGGGGGAGTCATGACGCATACTTTAGCGTTCTTTGGAAGTATCTATGTAGGAAAACTTGCCTGGCTTGAAACAGAAGTCTTCCAAACTGGAAGAAGAATCAGATAAAATTTAAATGGTCATGAATATAAATAAATGTGAGTATTCAATCCTTCCTTTCCCCCCATAAAAAGGGAAAAAACCTATTCTAAATTCTTCTCTGCCAAAAAACCCTCCTTGCTTTTGTAATAAGCATCCCTTCAAAGCAAAGACTAGTTTGTCACAGAATGCCTTCCAGATGCTTTTATAGTCTAGGGGCAAGAAATATCCTGAAAAATATGAATACATTCGTCTTCCTGCCAAAATTAAAAAACAGTAGAGACAAGGTAGAACTTTCATTAAAAGTGCTTAGTCATTTGAGAAAATCTGGTTCAATTTATAACTACAGATGTTCCAAAGATAAAAGGAGGTAAGGCAAAGCCTCTCTTCTTTCCATTGGTGGTACTATATGCAATTTAAATTGTAATGAAGAACAATCGTAACAATTGCCCCTCCAGGCCAGAAAAGATGTCAGATGTATTTTATTTTGATGACAGGATGATACTCATTGGCCTGGTGTGTTAGGAATTGCTAAGTATTCAGTAAGACCTGTTTGTACAAGTAAAGTGTAATACATACATTACACTGTATTTTTAAGCGACATACATACGCTAGAGTTTCTAGTATTCTATAGTAGTTCTTGAACAGCAACTGAGTAAATCTCTTGCACACCTAACAGTTGGTGGTAATTTTAAAAAAAGTTACCATACCACAGTACTGAATTTTGCTCCAGTAATTTCAGCTTCTAATGCACAACATAGGATTTAATAGAGAGAGTAAAATCTGTCCTGTTTTCATCAATGGCAGTAATTTTTAACACACTGTAGAAGTTGTCACTGATGACAGAAACAGGTTTATTTGTTTGAAATAGTATGTCCTAAAGTCCAGGGCCAGTATTTTCAAACAAAGGAATCTACATAGAAGTGGTCTGACTTCCAAAAATGTTGGTCATGCAGAGCCTTTACTTAAGGTTCCTTATTGTCAGATCTCTTTAACCTTAACAGTAGTTTCATACAGTGAACACTCCAGAAAATTAGTCCATGTTATGTCATATATATGTCCTAATATATTTAGGCACCCACATTTGGAAATACCCAACCTCAATTTCATCTTGAAATGAGAACTAGTAAATCATGATCTGTTGAACATAAAGGAGATATAAATTCAGTACATTTTTAGGCTATATTTTTTGAGATTTACCTCAAGATAACTAATACACTAGTTTCATGGCAGTATTGTGACAGGTCTGCCTTGTAGATTCATAATTAAAAAAAACCTATAATCAAAGCTTGCCTGATGGAATGTTAAGATTCAAGCATCCGTCCTGGGAAGCATACGCCCGACTTTTATTACATTAGAAAGTAAATTATTTTGTTAGGGAGGAGAGCTGACAGGGAAAATATACATCACCTGTTTGAGCATGTTTGAGAAGCTTGCAAAGAAATTATAATAAGGAAAAGAAGTATTACATAAACCTAGGATATTATCAGCTTCTTTACTGTTTCAGTTTTTCAAAAGTGTTCTCTGTGGGGCAGTGATGCAGTGCAAGATTTTATAAAAATATATTATTGTTTAAGTTCCCAGGATTTAACCACTAGAATCTTCTTGTCTGTGAATACTTTTATAGCATTCTAATGAGGCTATGTGAGTACTAATGCTTGGCTTTCATTCTGAGTTGTTAATAATATAAGAAAATCTACACTACAGAGTGTTATGGCACTAATTTTGTATTTTGCTGTAAGAACAAAAGAAAAAAGATTATTTTGCCTGTCTGTTTGAAGCCATTTGAGACATCTGTAGCACATACCTTAAGTCCCATCACGTGAGTAGGTGATAAGCAAGAGGGCTATTAGCAAGAGTGTGGCCAGCAGGTCAGGGGAGATGTTTCTTCTTGGCAGTTGTGAGACTGCAACTGGAGTACTGTATTCAGCTTTGGACTCCCCATACAAGAAATACATTGACATAGCAGAGCAGATCCAGCCGAGGACCACAAAGGCGATAAAGGGGTTGGGGCACATGAAGTATGAGGAGAAGCTGAGTGAGCAGGGTTAAGTCAGCCTTAAAAAGAAAAGGCAAGGGAAAGATTATCTTGCTGAACTCTAAAGGGAGGGTGTAGAAAAGATGAAGCCAGACTTCTCAGAAGTACACAGCAGAAGCCCTACAAACAACAGACACAAGCTGAAACATGGGAAATTCCCATTAGATAAAGGGAAAAAAAAAATCTTCATGCTGATATCCCCAAGGAGATGAAGCTTGGCCTACATCACCTCCTGATTTTCATTATTCTATGAACTACATTTTGGTCATACAACAAGCATTTATCTAGTCACATAGCAGGAGGATAACAACATCCAGTTCTTGAGCGTCTCCAAGAGGCAATGTAGCCTTTCTGTGATGACACTTTTGACACTATTCATGTTTATGTCTCCCTTGATAATATTGACTAAGTTTTGCAGATATTTTAATGTTGGCTTACAAGATTATAAAATTATATATTAATATTATGTATTATTACTATATATTATCACAATATACCATAGTCATGCAGTACACAGAGGATTCAGCAGAAACAGGATACACTGATTTGGCATCACATGCTTGGACTGATTGAAAGTGCAAAACCTGCTCTTTCAAGAAGCTGAATATACACTTTACATCTATGAGGCAATTACAAAAGATTTTGAGTACAGTTATGAACCATTGAAGTAATTAATTTGAAGCAGTCAATGGGAATATTAATGCATTTTGTAAGTTATACATATACTTAAATGCCAGCATACTCTGTAGGCCACTGGTGAGTGAGCATGACATCATCCCATCCCACTCCCAACACTAAAAAAATCAGTCAGGATCCATCTGTATCAGATACTTGCAATGTAGCATAGAGATACTCAAGACAGCTCAGCAGAATACCAGAAGGCATTATTCTGGGTGGAACCTGTCTGAAAGCTGATTAATTCATGCTATACTTGTGAGACCATAATTTTCACTATAGCTTATGTGCCTCAGAGAGGTCGTTCAGCATTAGTAGATGTTGTTGCTTACCTTTGGGTCAACAGTAACCACACTTCCAGCTACTTTTTTTCTCCAAAATGTCCAGCCAAGCTGTTATACCACTCCAACTGTAGAGACATACCACCTTATGACTGACAGCCAGGATAAACCAAAATGGTTACTACCAAGTTAGCATCCTGCAAGTCCAACACCTGATTTCATCTTGCATGTTACTCTCACCAAATTTTTCACGGTTGCAACAGAGATTTGAGTATTTTATTAATTTTAACATGGAAATCTGCTGACAAAGTGAAAATGGTTTAAAGCAAAAATTGGTTTTTTTTCCAAGTGATGATGTTTTTGCTCCTATGTTCAAAACCATCAGCTGTTACCTCAGGAAGAAGGTAATTCTGTCAGTACAGTTAATTTCATTTAATGAATTTAAAAAAAATACAAACAATAATATCCCAAACCAAACCAAAAAACACTTTGCTGGTAAAAGTTATTACTCTTTTAAAGAAAGATGGCTGTTACAGATACTTTGGCCTATTCTTTGTAGTGAAGGTCAAGCATGAAGTGAACTTTATAAGCAAAAAAGTTTAAAGGGATACGTAAGCAATAGTCTATTCTGTATTACTGTACACTAATAGTGAACCCCAAGATTAGATAATTCACAACAGTGAAATTAAGAGTCAAGGTTACACAATAAGATTTTATCTGCTAAAATATAAGATACAGAAGAACCACGAAAACATCATATCTCTGACATAACCACTTAAGCAAAATCCTATGCAAGATTCAACTCATCTGGCAGGTGTCCTTAAGATGGTTTACTTATGCTGTGTGGTAAGGCGAGTTATTTAAAAAATGTCAGGAATCTATGTTGCTGACAGAAGCTGCATCTCTGCCAATAAATTCTGCTTTCTTGTGCCCTACGAACAAAGCTACTTCAACGTGGACTAATTCTGAACATTTCTTATGAAATAGTTTCTAAATTCTGATTACCTCTGGAAAAGAAATTTTCCTGTGATAAAATGCTGCATCAAATAAAAATTATTCCCAAGGATCCAGAAAAGCTGCCACTTTTCCTGACTATAATACATATAGTGAATCTTTCACTGGAATTAAGAGCATGGCTGTTGCTATTTACTCTTTTGCAAGATAATATATTTCACTCACGACAGTTCCATTCCAATCACAGAAACACACACTAGCAATTGGATATTTTATTTCAAAATGAACAGACACAGGAAAATTGGCTTTTCCCTGTACAACTTGAACCAATCAACTCAAAACAGGCAATCTGTGCACTGGAAGATGCCAATTTTGAATGAGGTCTCCTCTAGGGACAGTTACTATCATATGCCTGTTCATGAACCAAATTAATTGAAATCCTGGGGAAGTCCTTCATGAACACACAGCTCTAAGTACCATTAGCAAACAAATTCAAGCATTTACTTGAATCTGATGTTTGAACTACCCTCATAAGCAGTAGATGTTTTCTCCATTCCAGTCACAAGACAGTATTACTCCAAAGCCAAACAATTCTTCTGCTCGTAAGTTATCACCCTCAACCTTCTCAAGCAACTATGGTCCACTATCAAATGTGTTTGCTATATTAATTTAATATTAAGTTACACCCTGCTTTGATGACATGCACTGATGTGTAATAGTTGTCAAACCAGATCTGTTAAGTAGGTTACTAGGTGCAGTTGTCATCAGTTCCTTGATGGATTATCTTGTTAAGGAAGCCATTATAAAATCACTACTGATAGGTGATATAAATGATATTCACATAGAAAGGCCAAATTCTGGCCCCATTAGAGTAAATGGTGTAAGATTTTTTCTGAGTACATTCATATTTGTAATAAAAAAATAAGGTCTAGAAGGTTACCTGATCCAATGAAAAAATTAAGTGAGGGAAAAGCATCTACTGTTCATAGGCAAATGAAAAATTAGCTTGAATATCTTTGGGTTTGAGACACAGGACATCTTGTAAGACTAGCTAAGCAGTTTCCTATTTCTAGGGTCTTAATACCTTGACAAGTTGTTCCCTAAATAAATTCCCTTGAATCACTCCATCATTTGTCAAGACTAGCCAAAAACCTAAGTCAAGTAAGAAATTATATGCAAAACTGGGACAGTTATGGAGAAGAGACTTCAATTACTTGCCAGTGATTTCTTATTGTTATACCATCAAGTACAATTCTAACAATCTATGCCCAAATATGAAGAGCCTAATGAATGTGCCTGATAATCTACAAAATTTTCAGGGCAACAGGAGCAACATCAACTCTCACTGAACTCATAAAATTCGCCCTTGAAAATCAGATCATACCAGATTGTAGTCTCCTACATGTTTCTGGGAACAAAATGGTCTGTTCCTAAGGAATTCTCAGTTCTATGGAAAAAGAGAAAATATGTCATGATACCAGTCACTTGAGTAATGCAATTGAATAAGTGAATAAATTCAGACATTTTCTGGGCCTTTTTGCTTAAAATGGTTTAGCTTTTACAGCAAAACTATTAATTAACCATTTTATTAGTTTTGGACTTTCTGAAGTGCATCACTATGCTACATTGTCCCAAGTTAATAAATGGTTAGTTTATAATCCCATAACTCAGTGATTTAATGGGAAATAAGTATTTTCTGATTAAATAAATATA